AAAAAAAAATTGTATGAGAAAGTTTTGTCCTGGATCTAGTCCAAAGGACTTCTTTCAAAAGTTTCCATTCTGAAAAATCAAGCCTCCTTTTCTTGACCCAGAGGACAGAATTACAGAAGACCGTTGGTAATGCTGATAGCGGGTTTATGTGTGCGGAGGGGGCAGTAGCTGCTGTATTGTATTAGTTCTCTAACCCTATGTCACAATCCACCCCAAAACTTAGCACCTTAAAACAATACATGTACTATTTCACAGTTTCAAGAACACAGGAGCAATCTGGCTGGTGAGTCTGACTTAACGTTCCTCACAAGACTGCAGCAAAGTCAAGGCTTTCGTAGGCTGGTATCTGCCGTCCCACGGTTGTTGACAAGGACCTCAGTTCCTCAAGAGCAGGGAGCCAGAAGACTCTGCTTTTCATGACTAGTCTGTCCACTGACTTCCCCCAAAGCAAGTGACCCAAGCAAACAAGCACACCAAAAACAAGAAGGTCTTTTTATAACCTTATCTCAGAACTGACATCTTATAGCGGCTGCCGTACACTATTCATAGGAAGCAAATCCAGCCCGCACATAAGAAGAGGAAAATTAAGCACTTCCTCTTGAGGAGAGAGGCGACTATCAAAGAATTACTTAACTACATTTGCAGTTACGAAGGATGGTACAAAGGACACAGACGAAGACACCCAGGGCGAGGTCTGGGTGAAGGGGTAAAGCACTCCATCCTCCATGAAACTGCAAGGTCAGTGACCTGCAAGCTCTTCAGACACTGTCCTTTGGGTTTTATGGAGACGTCATTGCATAGAAACAATTCTGAAAAAATAGTCTGGGTGAGGAAAGTCAGGGAAGATCTGTCTCTTTAGATTCTTCTTGGCCTCTCTGTACAGCATCTTTCCTCCAGGGCATGGGGCAGGACCCCTCTGGGACGAGGAGGGTCTTGTGACGTGCTCTTAGTCGCAGAATCTCTTTACGGCCACCTCCTCGAATCTGTATAACCCACCTTTGGAGGGAGACACTCTAGTTTCTGTGGCCTGCCTTAGGGAGGGAGTTGTAAGCCAGAAATCATGGAAATAAACCAAAAAAAAAATATCACACCATGGACCACCCCGATTTTTGAACACAGATCCCGTACAGCAAATGGATTTACAACCAAAGGATACTGCCACATTACTTGAAGCCCTATCAGTCATTAACAGTTAGCCTAGTTCAGCATCAAATTGAAAGATCATATCTCCTATGGAGAGGCCACTCAGGTTTGCAGTGTTCCCCAAAACATAAATAATCTCAGCAAACAAGGAGCTCTGAGCTTTCAGTTGCCTGAAATAACAGAGCTAAGAGACAGTGGCATGCCTTGCTGCTAGTCTCTCTTGGACTGTTAATGTAATAGCGAATCTCCCTCAGTTCATAACTCACTTTTATCATCACCCCAGCAACTGTTCATTCCCCCTTCCTTCCATTAACACCCACACTTAGGAAAAGACAGTGGATTCAGCCACCGTGCTGGTCCGGACTGCAGGTAGGAATACCAGTCCAGCAAGTGTCTCCCTCTCTGTCCACTTCTATGCAGACAGACTAAGTTTATGTGGTGCAGAACCAGTGGTCTGTTTTTGTCTCCATGCAATACAGATGCACTCACTGCCTACCTCAATTCTGCCAGATTCAGTGAAGGCATAACCCACCGCATCAGGCCATTAGCGATGGTGACATAAGGTGTAATAGTCTCTTACTGAGGAATCGAATTCCTACTTACGGCACTTGTTGTAGGGAAAGATTTTTTTCAGCTGATGTGAGAAAGAAAGTACCATAGTTGTACCAGCATCCTTCTCCACCATCTTTCCCCGAATGCCTAGAAGAACAGGAAAACCTGTCATGGGACTTCTTTGGTCCCATTCGTGCTAAAGGTGGGCACCTGTGTGAAAGCCAGGTGGCTGGCCCTTCTGCTTCTATCTCACCTGCTCTAGACAACTGGTCTTTTACTTCTCTATCACACTGGTGCCTGGAACATCTCTGCTTGTTGATGGACCATGAGCTGTATGGCGAGTTCTTTGGTTTGAGGAAATGAGGATTGGCTATTACCCTGCAGTATGTTCTGTTTTGGTTCTCCTGTGCGCTTGGCTCTTTCACTGACTCAGCAAAGCCCAGGCCAGAGTGAGTATTGCTAAGGGGACCCCCTCCCCTGGGCCACCAGCATGTCTCACTTGCCAGCTATGGGCAGGGTCTTTCCCAGGGACTGTGCCCCACAGCCCTTTGCAGTCTTGATCTCTTCTGCTGGCAGACAGTACTTGCTGGTAGTTCATGCCTCAGGGGTACAAGAGGAGTATGTCTAGACTCCGTCCATCTCTGAATTGCTGCAGCCCCTCTCCCATGTCCACTCATGTCATGGACGTGGGGCTATCTGCTTGTCAGTTCACTGCCTTGTGAAACTGGAAGGGAGCTCTCTCAATGGCCAACAGCATGTGCTACTTAAACACGCCCCACACAGGTATCCCTTTAATAGGCCAAGTTTCTACCATCCTTCTGCCCATAGAGCCAGCCAGGTCGTGCGTTACTGCTGAAGTCAAAAGCTCAGACACAGGGCCTTTCACCACTGTTCAGCTCTTTAGCTCACCAGGCTGTTTCTACCTTTTTAAATCAAGTGACATCTTTCCAAACAGGATGTCAATTTACTTGGACCTGGACCCACACACCAAGCGGCTCATGATCCGCCAGTTGAGAACTCTTGCGAGGCACTTTCCAAGTGTTGGCAGAACCCAGCAGCTGCAGAATCAGTCCTGGGAGAAAAACATCACCACTCACATCTCCCTCCCTTCCTCAGGGGGCACCTACGTAAACCATTTCAATTCTCTAGTTTCTAAAACGCTTACATGTATGACACAAGCTGCCTACATCTAGTTTCTAGGCTGTGCTTTAGTCTACAGTAGAGCTCAGCCATTGGGTTTTTGTTTTGTTTTTTGTTTTTCTGTAAAACACCAGAGTAAATAATTGAGGCAACATGGACCAGACTGTTAACTGTTATTTAACTGCCTGTGTACTACAGATGAGCTACAGGCAATAAACAAGTGAGTGTGGCTTTCAGTAAAATTTTGTTTACAAAAGTAGGCGATAGCCTGACTTCAGTCCGCAGGCAGTAGCTGGTTGACCAGTAGTACACAGCTACTGAAGTTATTGGAAATCCAGCGTGCTCAGTGTCATGGTTTGTGTCCAGATGTCCCCCACAAAGCCTCATGTGATCATAGGGTTTTTTCAGAGGTGACAATCTAGAGTGTGTGATTCGTAGTGCAACGCTGCCATTAAGGGTGCCAGGATGAAGGGTGGGTGATTGCTGGATCAGTCCGCTGATTGGATTGGCACCATCCTAATCCTGGTAGACTGGATACAAGGGCAGGAGGAGGCTTGTCTCACTTTTTGTTGTTTTTGCTGTCCTCTGCCACCGCGAACTGTTACCCCTCTGCCACGTGAAACACTGTCTTGAAGCCAGCTAGTTATGGACTGAACCCTCTACAAACTATGAGCTAAATAAACCTTTCCTCTAACTTTAGGTGCTGGGTATTTTGTCTCAGCATTGAGAAGAGTAACTAAGACACTCAGCGACTTATCTATCATAATTCTTACTTCAAAGAAATTCACCTAGATGGCATGGTTGTCTGCCTAGCCCCACGTCTCCACAGTGTGAAATTTAGTGGTAAGACATGACTGAAGGCAAATCTGAGATTTAGGGGAAGAAAACACCAGGACGTAGTCCTTGTTCTGGGAAACACAAATAGGTGTGTGAAGGAGATCTGGCTTGCTACCACAAGGAGCAAACCAGTGTCTTCATACTATTTAATTACTTAAGGTTGGCATGAGGCAAAAGTCTACGTGGTGGTGCTTTCTACAATGACAACTGTGAGGCCAGGCTACAGCACTGCAACTTCGACTCAAAGTGTAAATTAAGAAATCCAGTTTCATAACAAGCCTCATTCACTGAAGAGTGGAGTAAAGAGGAAATGTAAGACCTGAGTACCCAACAGGGTACTGAGCAGAAGCTGCCCAGACCAGCGAGGACCAAAGCAAACTTCAGCACCAGATGGTATCTCACAGTGTGGGGCGGGCAATGGGGAACAAGGTAACAGAACTCGGTCCGCAATGTTCATAAATAAGCCTCAGCTGATTTTTTGTCACAAGATGGAATATATAAGTTCTTGGGTCCAATCTCCCCTTCCTCATTCCCAAGGTTTGATTTTGCAAACACTTTTTTCTCCAAACCGCTTATATTTGTGGTTCCACTCTCCTTTGCTTGCAATGAGGCTGTAAAATCGTAAAAGGTGATTTCCCGCTTCAGTTATTATCATCAGGTAGATACCTGGTAAATTTCACTCTTACAAGCTTCCATTTTCACTGTTTTTCACCCCAAAACACAGCAACTAGTCATTTTCAAGTTGAATTTAAAAGCCAAATCCTACCTTTCCTTGATTAGATGTACTTCAGAAAGAACACTGTTACTTCTCAAAGTGGTTTGTTTTTGCTGAAATTTCATGCCACCCATACAGCTACCATGGCCCTATCAGATAACAGGTCTAACATCAATCCTCCTCCTGTTTTGTGCTGCTTTCCCTGCTTTTCTCACTCTAATAAAAGAGTAAAACATTAAATTGTATTGCTACAGCATTCTCTGCTGGACACATGCAATTTTCTTTGAGGTTATTTCATGGAATTTAAACTTGTTTCCATGAATTCTTAGGTACAATGATACAGGAACACTTTTGTCTATTTTAAGATGCTCATAGCTGGGAGCAGTATAAAGACTTGGAACTCTAGATATCTAATGTCTTACTTTGGTGGAAAGTGTGCAAATTAAATGTCAGGAGCAAACCAAGGTGGAGAATCTGATCCAGTCAGACACCCCACTCTAGAGATGAGTCCGGGACTAGCTCATGGACACTGAACCCCATCACTGGACGGGGTGGACTTCTGTGCTGAGGAATGTGCCAATACCCCAGTCTATCCACAAACATATACAAACTATTCCAGTTTTACTAATAACTTTATTTAAATAAGACACAGGAACTTCTATACTGAAAAAATACAAAACAGAAGCCACACATTTCCTTGTGTAAAGCCGTATTGTATGGTAACGCAAATACTGTTCAGCGCAGTGGCTAAAATTAAACAGTACAACTATATACAAAATTTAAACAATTTCTGACAAATTTCTACAGCTGAATGTAGGATACATTTGAGCTCAACAACTTCTGGGAAATTTACATGGCAAAGCATAAGCTTTGACACATTTGGTTCAAAACTTTAATATATGCTAAGAACAAATGTACAACACAATATTTAGTTTCTCATGAGAAAATAAAAGCACATGTCACTATAAATATCATACATCAGATTTCATCACCAAAAAAGCAAATTCACTCCATCTTTCTGAAGTTGACATTGATACTATTGCATCTTATTTGGACAAAAGCACAGCGTAAGATCTACGTATCATGTAATGTTAAACTGATATCAGAAGTTAAATGGAGCTCATATTTATCTTACGGAACTAGGAATTCTCTCCCTTTAACCATAATCTACAAAATATAGTATTTTCATCAAGGCCTGAGATTATTAGGGTTAAAGGTGTCTGCTGCTGAAAAGGTTGTTTTAAAAGATTCCCCCGTGAAAATGGCAAAAGTAAACTGAGTCCTTTTCTCCATGACAGTCTCCTATAATATAACACTGACTAATTTAAAGGAGCCAGAATGCACCTTCAAGAGAGAATATTACTGCAAACTTTGGTGGAAAGATTAGGATCGTGACAAAACAGTACACGGAATGCACGCACACACACAAACATGTACAAATATATAAAATATTAAAAAAAAAAAACCAATGGTGTTGCATTCTTCTGTATCACCTCATCCTTCTTCAATCTCCTTAAAACAAACGACAATAACAACAACAACAAATCCCAAGAATGACTGAAGGGAACTGAAACATTCTTTTAACTGTAGGCACCTTGTTCCATGAATTCTTAAAAGAAAAATTTGTGCCATACACTTCAGGTGCAGATGAGACAACTCTAGGTTTTTACTGAGCTGAAAACAATGGAATAAAAACATAAAAGCTTCTCTTTATTTGCAGATCTCTGTGCTACAGAAAGCAACATCTGATAGTCAAGCTCTCCCGCTAACTAACCAATCAGGAATATCTAGTGCTCCCTTCACACTCTGGAGAACTTACGTCAAGTCTGCAAGTTCAAGGTGACTTACTTGGGCTTATGCTCTACTTCGTAAATCCAAAATTTTAACAAAACTATTGATGATAGTATTATGTGAGGCTTCAATGAGACAGGCTCAAACTACTGTTTTTGTAAGTGACTAAATAACCTACTGACGCAGCATCAATTGAGACGAGCATTCTCTCTGGGGGGAATGCAACTCATTCACCCAAACTGCATGAGGAAAATACACCAAAAGTGTGTGTCATGCTTTAACCTGCAAATCAAAGAATTTCCAAAACAGAAACTAAACACAAATGTGTCTTTAGATAAAAACGGTAGCAATTATGAACCTGATGGCCAACAATAACAACAAAAAAACCACAAAATAAACAAAAAAAAAACCCTCATCCATCCCCTGTGAAATTTTGCTCATTTTGAAATTAAACCTCGACATTCTTGTGTTTAAATTTCATCACACATGATGTGGAATGTTTTATGTACGCATCTAGTACTGAACACTTTACTTGAACATTGTAACAGTCATGAACTGAACAACACCTGAACTTTGAAAACTGCCACATTTACACATGTTGACACGGAATGCAACAGCCGTCTGACTCGTAAGCACATGACAAAAGTGATGTCACACACCACAGATTGCCGGTTCTCCTCAAGTTCACCCATGTCCAGGGTTATCGCTCACCTAGGGTTGAATGCACTTCTTATTCTAAGAGTATGGAATGTAATGAGGAAAGGGAAATGCACAAAATAAGGAAAGGCAAAAGAGTGATGCTCCCTCTTTAGCTTTGTAGCTGTGAAATATTTAATATCCCAATATGATATACATTCCAAGTTACCTGAGTTAGACTTCAACTGAAGTACCTGAAGCTAGGCCATAGGGTGGGCACTGTGCATCTGTTGTGGCCATTTTTTTTTTTTTTTGCATTGTATGTATTACAGAAATTAGAAACAAACACCTGGGTCAATTGTAAACATAATTCCGAAGTACAGTATTTTCCATAGGACAAAACACAGCAAGACGTTTTCTATTTAGACAGGCAACTTTTTGATATTAGAGCTTATTTATACTGAAGAATTTGGAACAAAACACAGGACACAGTACTCATCTGTCAAACATACTATGAAATGCATAGTCTCCACTTAAAATGCTGAATGACACGTACATTTTGCAAGCATTACTGCTTTCCACAAAAACTGCTAAATAGGAGTTCCGTCCCTGCCAAGATCAGTGTTAAGAGCTATTTTATGATGCTGATAAGTATTTTGTTGTCGGTGGTGGTACTCAGAAAGTCTGTCACTCCATGCAGATAGATGTCTGAGATCAGTCCTTGGAACGTGGGGTGGAGGCCAGCTCCCCCTCTGCTTTAGATGATGACGTAGTTCTGAGCAGAGGTGTGTTCCTCACCCTGCAGTTCCGGCAGGAGCTGCTGATGCTGGGATGGCTGCTGGACGGAGGCCTCTGCAGAGCCTGCGGTGCTGGTGTCATCGGACAGAGATGCGAAGGAAACCCGAGATGAGAGCTGCTCCACGGTCAGAGTCGCCAGAGCTGAATTCTGGCCAGAGTTCGGGGAGTTCTTGAGCATCAGGTCAGAGGCAGGTAAGAGAGGGCCTAGGAGTTTCACAGGACAGAAAGCTGATCCGGTTGGGATGAAATTAACCTTGTTTTTGTCAGGACATGAAAAGAGAGGGGCCGAGATAGGCTGACGAGACCTAAAACCATAAAACAAAATTAGGTGTTCAGTCATCAGAAAGTTAAGCGCTTTCGGGGGTGGGGGAAAAAAAAAAGGTGGGCAGGAGCTCTCTAAAGCTGCTACAATGTGATGGCAGGGAATGGGTTCGGTATACACAGATGGGTAAACATCTTCCATAGCACAAGTCAGCTTGCAGAATACTCATGTACACAGCACTGAAGCAGTATTGGAGACAAACAGTTTTCAAAAGGACTAGGCAAAAACCTTCTAGAGATCATGGGCTCGCCTTCAATCACTTAGGAATGTGGGAAACTCTCCTGTATTATAGCTGCAGATTACACAAGGTTAGGATGACTTTTCTGTTAGGAAACAGCACACCCAGGGTATTACCCATCAGGTACTGGATTTTAAGTACTCTCTCCCTTTTCTGTATCTACCCACAGATGTGGGGTGAAGGGGGAGATTCAGCGGTCTTTGGACGAGTCACCCGGCCCAACAGAGGAGGGTCCACCAGCCTGTCCTTCCCTTCCAGTCCTGAACCTAGGCCACGAACTCCTGAAAGACCGGTCCTTGTTCCCTCCTAGGTCGCAAGAGCACGGCAGCCTCCACTGGGCCCCTGCACTGGGACACAGGGACGGGCCAGTCTAAGAGCCACACACGGAGCCTTCTGCCCAGGGTTTACAGCATGAATTTCTAACTTACACACACTGTAGTTGCAAAAAGAAAAAAAAAAAATCTGTGAACAGAAATCCAAAATCCATGAATAAACAAGCAGCGTGTCATTCGGGGAGGAGACAATCTTCCTTCTGCCTAGTGCCATCCACAGGATCGTTCGGTATTCACTTTGCTCCGATGTGCCGTCTTGTCAGCCATATAAACTAACAAGGCTTTTGAAAGGAAAATTCTTGGACTGAAAAAGATGTTTTTTTAGGTAGGAAGGATGAATATCCAAGTCTCTGTGTATCAGCATATACATTTCCAGCACACAAACTTTAACTCTCCTTCAGGAAGCTCTCTTTCGTCTGCGGATTCCCTTTTCATAATTTGCTTTTGAAACACATTATCAGCTGGATAGAGTAGTTGATTCTCTATAATCAACTGGTCTCAGTAAAAAGCTTCACAGCTTTGCACATCCCAGCTGATAGAAAAGACATTACTTACGCCATCTCCTCAAAGACTTTCACTCGCTCACATCCCTCTGGGGGCTCCCGTTTGAACATGTAGCTGTTGTTTGGTTTGGGAGATGAAGCATACTTGGGTAGCGGTGAGCTACTCCCACTGTCTGTAAATTTAAAGCAGTTATATTAACTAGAGATTGAAAGCTCTTTTAAATTAAACTTGATTTCCGAACAACCTTTTGCACCGTTTTTCCACTACTACCCTTTCTTTCACCGCAGGGCCGCTTGTGTTATAAAGCTGCTTCTAATAGCTTTGTGTAGTACATTTCGTTTAAATAAACACTTCAATGCAACAGTAATCTACCACACTAGAGAACATAAAGGAGGATATTTTGATCCAGAAAACTGTGTTCTGAATAAAGTACTGGTGTAATACTGGAAAGAAGCATATGACTTATTATGTACTTCAAGAATGTGAATGAGCGGGCTCATATGTATGACTCACAGAAGAATTATAAATTACTGTAAGACAGTGTTGGCTATGAATTTTCTCACCGTCCAATTAATTTAACTAAAAATTTTAGCATGTAAAATAATCTTTATTATATCAGCAGAAATGATACTTTTACCAAAATGATGAATAAGATGTATGCAAGGGAAAAAACAGATTTATAACACGTCTTCTTCCATTTGCCTATCATAAAAAAGGCAATTTTTCGCAGAATTTTGCTTTTCAATGTCTATAAAAGAGCCTTTTCAGTTTGCATTTTAGCTACTAGCTGACATAAGAAATCCAAAAACATCTCTACTTAATGTATTTTCCTCATATTTTTTTCACCAAAAAGAAAGTGGGTCTATTCATGAGAAGCTATAAAATCTATATGCAATTTCTCCCTTTCCTATCTGGCAAAGGATTTTGGAAATTCAAGCCCAGAAAATGTGTCATTATCTTTTTAAGATGCCAAGTTGTAAAGTCAGTAATGTATGTGTATAAACAGTCCCATTTCAACAAATTCTGACCTAATGCAATCCGATCTCCACTGCTAAAATACTAAGTACATGACCCACTGAGATGTATTGTTTTCCTGTAGTTTGAAAGATGGCATTAGTATCTTAATTATGTTATAATTTCGGTAAATTGCTTTAGTTTAGGGTATAGAACAGAAACTCAGCAACAGGAACATTTTTATCATTATTACTAAGGTCTAATACATGTTTAGGAAACAGACCCCTAACGTACACTAATACTTTACTTGGTGAAGATTCAGAGAGTATCTATGTTAGTCATACAAATGCAAATCTGTGCTTATATTTGAATACAGCTGTACATCCAGCTAGGAAATTATTGTCTGAAAAATAAGGTGTCTACGCTATTAGGAAAGTTAGAAAACTCACGTAACTTATCACCATTATGCACTTCCCTACGTGATGCACAGAACAGTTAATTAAATAATGAAATTTGGTTTCTTTGTATACTATTCAGATTTGAGAATTTTCTTAAGATTCCAAACATTTACTCTGTATCTTGCTTAAACAAACAAGGAAGGGCGGGGCATATAACAACTTCTGTTAGGATGGAATGATACAGACGGCATCATTATCCTCAGTAGAGCTCAGAATTTACGTCTCTAAGCAAGGTTAGACCAGAAAGGTTTTTATGAAAAACTGTTTAAGAATGAGGATTTGAACTCTGTGTAACACCAAAATACAATCTGACCTCATTTTACTACCTAAACGGCAACCAGCCATACAAAGGAAACGTGTGATCAAGAATACAAGGAAGCAAACATGGCACGCAACACCTTCCCAGAGGTTACTGTTGAACACAGCATGGCCTACACAACATGCATCATCAGCCTAAAAACACGAGCGATGCCTGTAACAAGTTTCTTAGGCCACCAACAGTTGCAAGCCAGGTGAATCTGGTGTATCAGATACTTACTTTCCTATCCAGTGCAATATTATCTCTATGTACCTAAACATCATGTTGGTCACATTTACAGCCTTTTGTGCTGTATTTCTTATTACATCATCAAACCTACTACACTGTTTCTCGTAGTTTTACTGTTCGTTTCCCAGAGTTGAAAGACAGATGTGACTTGGGTAAGCTGCAGAACTGATAATCACTGCCCCAACAATGTAAAATTGTATTTTTCTTCTTAAATTTTTTCTAATTTGAAAGCCTCTCCCTCCTTTGCTTTTGGTACAGCTCTTAAGTACATCAGGTACAATCAAATTTGAGAACTAATCATGAAAATGCTAAGAACCTTGATTTAGAATTAAGGCTACCTGACTTCAATAGGCCTGGCTGCATTACCTACGGTTAGGTCTGATCTGATTCATCTACCAAATGAGAACAACATACTGACATGACAGCTGAAAAGTGTGTATAAAAGTGTTAGGACAAAAAAAAAAGTGTTAGGACACAGCCTGAAACACAGGAAGTTCTCAACAATATCACCATAGTGGAAAAATATACTTCTAATTAGGAAATTTTAAAAATTAACCACTCAAAAAGTATATGCCTATTTCATTCTCTTTCTACAGAAAAGGGTAAAAGAATTGGCATTTTAAATAGATTTGTGTATTCTAACTATTTAGTTACATAAAGATAATATTGCACTAGACAGGAAAGTAAGTATCTGATATACCAGATACACCTGGTTTGCAACTGCCTAGCATTTACTCTGTAGCACGAACTCTACCAGTTCATGATAAGATCTTTTAATAATGTATAGAGCTCTATCACCCTGAAATGAAAACCAATGCCTAAAATCTATAAACCACTCAACCTAAGATAATAATTTTAAGTATATATAGCAATAACCAGTAAAATATAATTCTTGTTCTACCTTGCCCAAATAGGTATCTAGAAAAACAAGTATCATTCATATAACACTATATTCCATGACATACTGAAAGTACAATAAAAGCATAAAAGTTAGCCATGAGAGATTAGAAATATGACTAAATAGGACCTACACGTAATTACTATTCTGGTGTTGAAATTACTTCTTTTGCTTCACCAAATGAAACTATCAACTGTAGAGTGGTTTGATGGCCTAATAAAATCAGGAAAACCAACAATTATATAGCATTTCTTGGCAATAAGCTTTTAGAGCCAGGTACCATTACCAGTTGTATCAAAAACCTGTGCTTTCTGCTACCTCTAAGGACAAACTGAGAGCTTATAACTAAGGATTACTTAAGAGTATCTAAAGTTTTTCTACAACTTCAAAATTTATGCCTTATGAGAATGCTATTTATTTAAACGAGAATTTTAATAACACAACATATAGCTAAGATCTCCTTTAGATCAGCATTCAAGAACAAAAGGTAAGGAGAAAAAAATGGTATGACCTTTTGTTACTTCTATTTTTGAACTTCAAATTAGACTGTTTTTTGAGAAAGTGGAACTCGAATTACAATCCAAATGTTAGGTCCATTAATTAAATGTTTGTCATAGGTAGGTGATTATGTGTTAGCTGCTTGTCATGCTTTCAGGACTACTCGAATGGAATCAATTTGCAAATCAAGTAAGCAAATTATAGTTTTGTGGGTTTTTTTATAGTTTTTCTTTTGTTTCTGTGTACTTGAAATAAGTGCACTTCTTCCACAACACAATCCTCATACACAAAGCAATACTGATTATTCTCTCCAAATCTGACAGTCCCTGATATGCTAATTACTCAAATCTGACTTGATAGTTACAAATGAAAGCAAATCTCATTATGAGGCGAGTCCTCTAACCAATTTATAAGGTAAAATCATGACTGTATTAATGTAAATCACATTATAGTAAAAGCCAACCAGAAAATAAATCAATTTACACAAAATATGTCCTATCCTGAAAAGTAATGTATTTAAGGATCCCAGGAAAATCACTGTAATATAAGCTTAGTTTTTATATTCTTAAAAATTTTAAATGCAAAAAAAATACTGGTTTTCAAAAAACTCGAAACACATTGCTTATTTTAAACAGCTTCTAAAGTACCCTACAGGTGGGAAAAAAGAAAAACTCTGGAATTTCTAATGAGTCTCACTACAATTTTAAATGTTCACTTAAATATTTACTGAGAACGTGCTAGTTGCAAAATAGAAGACAAAGCAAAATACTATGTCTTAAAAAAACAACATTAGATAAAACTAGTATTTCCTCCTTTTAAAAAAAAAATTCTTGCTAAGGAGAAATGGCAGATCGATGTGAAACTTTAAACTTAACATTACATTCTCCTTAAATCCTTTCTCTCCTTCCTGTTCACCACCTCTCCAATACAGTGATCATCACCCACTCCTCCCACACTGAAATGAGTCCGCACATCACCCCTGCAGTCCTCCTCCTCTCCTCCGTCTCCTCCGGCCTCCTTTGCCCACAAACACGACTGTTTCTTCTTTAGCACCTCTGCTCCCATTCTGTACTCCTGAGACCCCTCCTTGTCTTTGCCTTACACCTGTGGTCTCACAACTGAAGTGTGCAAAGCAATATGCTGACACGGAGCAAGACAATATTAGAACATGTATACATACTTTCAGTTTTGAAAACAAGTACGCTTTACTAACACATATACAGTTTGTATGAACTTACATGAGGGGTACAGATTCAAAATTGCTGACAAGGGTGTGATGAATAAAAAAGTTTGAAAAAATCATAGGAACAGGGCTGGGGATTTAGCTCAGCGGCACAGACTTGCCTGGCAAGCACGAGGTCGTGAGTTCAATTCCTGGTACCGGAAAAAAACAAAAACAAACAAACAAAAGTCACAGGAACAGACTACAGAAACGGCTTCTTCCTGTGCCCCTCTATGGTCTCTCTCCACTTCTGTAGCTTCACATGAGTCATGGTTCTTAAATATTGAGCTGGTCATGTCCTTTGGTGACTAAAGTTCTTGGCCTTCATTTCTCTTAGGAAGGCCTGCAGGGCCCCTTATGCAATACCGGTCTTTCCACCTCTCTATTCATTCCTCCCTACTCCCTGCCACTGGCCCCCATGCTCAGATCGCATGATTCCTACTCTTCTCCACACACCAGGTCCTTTCAGAGCTGAATATGAAATAAAGTTAAGTCCTTCTACAAAGGCAGTAAGATACTGTTATGGCTTTTAGATAAATGTTCTCCCAAAGTCTCATGTGCTCCTAGGTGGGACTTTCGGGAGTGGCTGGATCAT